AAATTATTTCATTGCTTCTGAGTGATAACTTTGTTTATGAAGATTTAGTTTCTATGTTAAGATTAGGCAGAGCCTAGTTAACCAAAAAAAGAGAAAACAACTGATTTTTTTCACAGTATAAAATGAATTGTTGTACAGCAAACTCTTGATTAATCACAAAGGAATTATCCAGTTTGTGAAATATTTTAGACTTTTCCCCCATTCTTTAACTGGGTTTCACTAGTTTCAAAGGCACCGGAGTGAGACAGGTACAGATAAAGTGAATGATTGTTCTTAAGTGAGAATGCGACTACAGTTGGCTTTACTTGGTAGCTAAAGGCCTTGTTCAGTAGAATGCTAGCACCAATTGCATAAAGCCATCCATTTCTCTGTATCCCTATTGCTATCTCTCCAGTCTAAACCACCATCTTTCACTTGGACTTCTATAATAGTTTAACTCATTTCCTTTTATTTGTTTCTATTCTTTTCCTAATCCATTATCTATACTGCAGTTGAAGTTATCTGTTAAAACCAAATTCCGATCATGTCATTCTGTGGTTTAAAATCTTTAAATAACTTGCCTATGCCCATAGTATTAAATTAATATTCTGCAGTTTAATATACATATCCTTTTAAATATGGTTTGAAGTTTCTTTATACTTCCCTAGTCTCACTTATCACTGTATGTTTCCTCACATTTCTAATTTTATTTCTCTGTGGGCAGTCTTAGCAAGCAGCCCCCTATATTTAAGTTTACCTTGGTATAGGTCATTGACATAATCTTTCTGAAATGCAAATGTAATTTTATCACTTTCTGCCTTAATATCCTCCAATGAATTACCACTACTATTATAATTAAGTCTTAATATTTATTATTGCCTTTTAAGTCACTTATTATTTGGTTAGCATTGTTTCCTTAGCACATAATGTGACTTTGATCTGGGATATCATCCTCCACTTGGTAGCTTACTACATCCAGTTTATCCTTCAAGACAACTGAAACATTTCTCTCCTGAGAACTTTATAGTCTTATCAAAGGGTTCCCATTATTTACTCCCTCAGGACCTGCATATGCCTATGAAATTCATTCATTCATTCATTCATCAAAATCTATGACTGCCTAAAAGGCGTCAGGTACTTAAGAGGCAAATTGAATAAAATATTTTGACCTACAAAAATGGCACTTCCATGGTTAAAACTAATAGATAAAAAATGTTGCGCTCATGTTAAGTTACATTATACAAAAAAAGACATCAAGAAGGAAAATGAGTAAGTAAAACATATCTTTTGTCAAATAGTGATAAATGTTATGGGAAACAATAAAACATGGAAGGAGGACAGAGAGTCCTGGGTGAGAAGGAAGACATTTCAGAAAGAAGAGATATTTTGACAAATATATAAAGGGGTAGAAGGACAATCCATGGAGATACTTATGGGAAAATGCAAAAGAAGCTAGTGTATAATGGAGTGAGGTTAGTCTGGAATTGTGGGGTAAGTTTTCAGTATTTAAATGATACATTTTTAACCATGAGACTAGATATTATCACCAAGGGATGGAGTTTAGACAGAGATATGAAGATGTCATCTATGATACGAACCTAGGACTCTCCAACATTAAAATGTGAAAAGGATGAGGATGATGAGGAATTATCCAGGAGACTGACAAGGAGTGGTCAACCAGGTAGAAAGCAAAGTAAGATAAAGGCCAAATGAAGAAAGTGTTAGAATAAGAAGAAATGATTAACTGTGTCAAATGCTGCTGATAGGTTAAGCATGTTGAGGACTGGGAGATAACTGTTGGATTTGGCATCCTGGGGCCACTAGTGTTGATGAGAGCAGTTTTGGTAGAATAGTGAGAATGAAAGCCTTGTTACAGTGAATTCAAAAGAGACTAGAAACAGAACATAGATGGCCAACCACCCTACTTACACTTAAATGGTTCTTTTCATTTTGAAAGTGTTCTAGTTTGGATGTTAATTTATATGTCAATCCTAACTATATAGAAAACTCTTTCAGAGCACATTGTTATGCTGGAAACCATAGCTGGAAGAAGTGTGGTCAAGAAAGATTTTGTTTTAAAAACGTAGGAATTAATACAGGGTATTTGTTTGCTGATGAAAATGATACGTTATGGAGGCATAATTTGGTGATATGGGAGATAAAGGGGAGAATTTTGAGAATGCTATTTTTGAAAAGGCAAGAGAGGATAGAATGGGCTTGGTCTTGCATAGGAGCTCAGTTCAGCCCGTTACCCCCTTTGTAATGGGAAGGAAGGCAGAATACACTGTTGCATTTCTCACACTGTATTTTATTGTTGATTTGTTTGTTTCCCACATATTATGAACCTCATAAGAGCAATAAGAGTAAATGCCATGTTCATTTTGTGGTAGGAATGTTTATTCGTATTCTCTAGCACAATGTCTGACACACAGCAGGCATGCAATAAATGTTTGAATGAACAAATGAAGATACCGTGCTAAGCATGTGTATAGTTTATCTTCTCACTCAGATTGGATCATTTTCATCAAATCTTGACAACCAGATTGATTTAATTGTGTTTCTTTTGTCTAGGCCTACGGATAGCTTGACTAACTGGTAGAGATGATTAATAGGAATCGCTGTTTCTAACAAAATCAATGATGCTTCTGAGTTGTAAAATGAGTAGCCTTTTGCCACATCATTTTACAGTGGTCCTGGTTATGGTTTTAACATGAAATTACTATTTACTTCACTTTGAACCTTCTGAAAGCTATCTATTCTCCTCAGTATACATTTATCATTTGTAGATTATCATTCGTATGGCATGCATCATTGTCTGTTATTATTATCTAACTTACCTAATAATTGGGAAACTCTTTGAGAATGGGGATTACATCTCATTGTCTTTTCCCCCAATAGTGCATTGTACCCCCTTTGGTTAAGAATATGTCTTCTTCAACACTAAATTAAAGATGTTTTCCCTGATACAAGCCAGATGTCAAATAGATATTTGTTGAATGAATGAATGTATCAGTGAATGATTACTGTCTGTAGTGTATGTTTTTGGTGCAGAGGCCAGATCTTCTTTCCTTTTTGGTATGATTATCCTCCAGCTCTCTACACTTTGCTTCTAATAGCTCATACCTGAAATCTTCTTCAAAGGACTATCCTTGGGCCACTGGAGCTGCATCAGCCAGATGCTTCAAGAACAAAAAGTGTCTGGAATTTTATGCCTTTCCCTTATTAACCAGTAACCATTGACTGAGGTGCAGGAATCTGGGAATCTAGCTCTCATATTTCAAGGAAGCACAAACTTGCCAGTAGTTTACACTCTAAAGTGGGCTGTGATATCAGGCTGAGACCAGGACTTCACCTGAAGTTGCGCCTTGCTTGGCTATTAGTCTTCCTTATCTTGCTTCCTATGCTCCCTCATAGGATTCTCCTGAGAACACTTACTTAGTAAATCACTTGTACACTCATGCTTTCCTTTGGATCTGCTTCTTGGGAACTTGACTTACGATATTACATGTTTATAAGCAGATTATACCAGGGGCAGGGAATTATAACCATTGTCTCTCTAAGAGTGTTAAGTTTTGCTATTGTAGGTAGTGTCTACACCCCAACTAAAACTGTAAGTGACTGTGAACTAAATTTGATATTTGATTTGATTGTTTGCTGGGAAGTAGCTTCACAACTTTAGTAAATAAATGTTATTGAATTTAGTAAATATCTTATTGAATTACAAGGCTTTCTAACATAAAGTCAGAATGTATTTCTTTAACTTTCTATTCTTTTTGATTATACACATCTCTGAAATCTTCGTTCTCTCTCCTTAAACAAGGATAAAAAAGACTTGATTGTATAATCAATTTTTATACAATTGAGTATAGCTTTCTTTTGTCTTTCTGTTGACTATAAATATCCATTTTCATGTACCGAGTAAACTATTTATTTTTTAGTGATTTGAAAAGAACACAAACTCCTTTATCTGTAAAATGCAATTGGAAGTAATGTGTTTTAGAACCGCAAAGAACTTTAGTAACCAGCTGGTAGCCAATACCTTCATTTTATAAACGAGAACATTTGAGATCCAAAGAGGTTAAGTAATTTGTTCAATATCACCCAGCTTGGTTAGTGGCAGAGCAGGACTAAAACCCAACTCCCAGGCTGCTATGCTCTCCACTACTCCACAGAATACATATTTATTATTCACAGAATTGATATGAGGATTAGGGACCACATCTGTGAAAAATAGATTTAGCCTTTGGAAAGAAAGATGCTGGATAGCTTTATGAAAGCTTTATGAAAACTAATCTCATTTTAACCTTTTCTGTACAATTGTTAGTTTTGTTCAGTTTTATGTTATTTGCCTCAGGCTTCTTTTTGGCTGAAGACTAGATAATATACAATACTTGATTTAGAAATCAATATTAAGTATCTGGATTGTGTTAGAAATAAGAATTATTTCAGCTGGTTTTGAAGCCAGGAACAGTTGCAGACGGCCTTCCAGGATGGCAATCATTTATGTACATGAAAAATTTTCTATTTGTACTTTGCATATTGGGAATAAGGACAGTTGGTTTCAAAGAAAATAAGGAAGCATAACTTACATTTTTGTTCAGCCTAGTAATACTTCCAAAGCTGGATGCAATGTGTTTTTAGCAAACCATAAATTTTCTCTCCTGTGGAGCTACCGTGTCCTGCCTACTTTCAGCATAGTCAGGAAACCATTATACTAATCCACCCTGCCTTCGTATCTCTAGCAAGCACATGTAAGCGATAACTGAATATTTATTTGGATGCAGGGTGTATAAATCTTCTCTATGTCTCCTTGTAAAGCGAGGAAATTGTGACTTGTTCAACTTGGTTACTTTAATTGTTTAAGTTTGGTTCTGTCAGCCACAGCATGCTTTGAAATATGAACAAGAACACTGCTTAATTTTTGTACTATTTGAAGTGATTTGTGTAGATTCACATATGCGGGGAAGATAAAATTTGAGTACCAAAAGGCTAAAGTAATCTTTATATATATTTTTAATTAGGTACGATTATATGCAAGACCCGATGCCATCAGAAGAGGATCTGGGGACTATGCTCTCCATATAACAAAGAGATTAATAGAATTTTATGAGGACTACTTTAAAGTGCCCTATTCCTTGCCAAAACTAGGTAAGAATTTTCTTTGTTATTTTATTGGAAGGTGTCCTTGAAAGGTGGAATTTCTTCGTCATTCGTTTGAGACATTCGAAAGCACGAAAATTCCAAGGGTTGTATTTTTAAAGAAGATGAGCATGAAAAATAATTTCTTCTAAAGAGCTCAAAAGCAATTTAGTGTTTCTAAAATCTTGCCAAAAAGTGCTCATAGAAATTAAGAAAGGCATTACATATGTTTAGGATTCCAAAAGATAAGCCAAATAACTATAATTTGTTGAATATGTTCTGGGAAGGGGTGCTTGCCAGAATCTCATTTAATCCCAACAACTACTTCGTGGGTAGGTACTGTTAGAACATTTTCCACCTAAGGGAATTGAGACCCAGGGACGGAGTCTTCCATTCATTTAGACAGCCAATAAGTAAGGGAGCTGGGATTTCAAGCTAGGTCTTGATGACTCCCAGAACTAGTCAATATTTTACACTTATTGATTTGTTTCTTTTTCTACATTCTCAAATGTTGAACCTCAGTGTATTAGTTATTCCTTAGATTATTTTTGTTCAGACATATTTCAAGTAAGTTACAGTAAATAGAACAAAAACAAGAGAGAAAGGAAACTTAATGATGGAGATTGTGTTCACCATAAATATACTTACATTCTTTTCTTTTATGTTCAGTAATTGTTGGATGAATAAATGAATGAATTTTGTTATTCTAATTTGAATGAAGCTGCTGCTTTTGCAGGAGAGTGAACTCTGACTTTCCAGGAAGTTAGAAAGGGCACATACACCCATTAAAAATGCCGAAGCTATTTTTTCTTCTCAAAAAATCTGTTTTGAAATATTACATCACAACAGTCCTTTGTTCCCTCTCCCTTCTCCCCATCCTTTTTCCTTCCCAAGAGCATTTTTGATCAGCATCCACATAAAAGTTATTGCTCATTGGCGAGAATAAAGTGCTTACCTGATCAAAAGCGTTAGCATTTGAACCACAGGTTCTCCTCTCTGGAGAACTGGGCCTATTTCATTAAAGTACCTGCCTGCTGGGTAACTTTATTGGTCTTAAAATGAGTATTTCAAGAGAGTAGATAGATTAGTTGATAGTGTTATCAATGAATGTGGCATGCAATTTTAATGAGTGATATTATAAAATTCTGGTCTTTTTGAAATATGTACTCTTAAAATCCATAATGTTTAATTTCAAATTTCTAAATAAAATTTTATTTCGAATAGGATCTATGTTTTGTTTTATTTTGTTGTTTCTTCTTTCTTTCTTTTCCCCTCTATATCAACTTCCTTATTAGAATCTGTTACACTGAAATCTTGCTTGTAGGTGCCCAAGGCAGGAAAGAATGCCTGACCTAATTTGCATGGAGGTAACACTGTTCTGTACTCCAAGTAAAACTGACTGAGAACTTCCCAGCTTGACCCTAATGTAAAATTCACAAGTGCTTATATTGCAAGTTCAGCAAGAGAAATAAAATGTGGATCTTTGTCCCTTTCAGACCAGTAATTAGTAGAGGAATTCAATTTATAACTTCAGGGGGTTCCATGTAGCTGTCAGCTTGCAGCAGGAAGCATTTCTATTCCTCTATTTCACTTACAAACGAACCATGTAGGCTTTCATCTATAGAAAAGAGCTTCGTTCACTGTTACTATTACTTGTTAAGCTACTTTACGGTATACGTAGTTGAATGATTTGACTTACACCAGTGTACTTCTTTTTATGTATCTAGGGGAGTGACCAGAGCCTGTGGCAGTTTGTAAAATTTCTCTTAAAGTTCTACTTATTTTATATATCTATAGATATTTAGATCTATATGTTAATGGATTTATAAGTATGGTTTCTAAATACCCCCTACATAAAAATTCCTAGGCACAGAAGAATTTTGACAAATCTTTCCATTGTACATTATGAATTATATTTTAAATAAATTCTATGGAAACCAACTCAGTCTTTGTTAATGGTTCATGTATCCTAGATATCAGCTTCCCAGACCCTTCAGATCTATCTCAGATGGTTCCTAAAATGTATTTTACCTTCCCTCCCTCCCACTTTCTCTCATTTATTTAATAAGCATTTATTAAGTGCCTCTCATAGGTACTTTTCTATGTGATGGGGATACAGCAGCAAATAAAAAAATAAGTCAAAAATTTCTTCCGTCCTGGGGTTTACATTCTATTATGTAGAGACAGATGTTAAAACAATTAGTAACACATATAGTATATTAAATGGAGGTACGTGCCATCGAAATAAAGCTAGAACAGAAGAATAGGAAGTATGTGGGGCAGGTCAGGCAGGAAAAAAGGGCTGAATTTTTTAAATGGGTGAATATGGATGGCTTCCTTGGGAAGCTGACTTTTGAGCAAAGAATTTAAATGACTGAAGGCAAAAGCAAAGTGGATATCACGGAACAAGGACTATAGGCAGAGGGAACAAAGCACTGAGACTTTGAGATGGAAGTTTTGTTGGTGTGTTTAAGGAACAAGAGCAGAGTGAGTAAAGGGGTGAGAAATAGGAGAGGCAGTCATGGGCGGGTAGCTCCAAATAGACTGTGATAAAGACTGGCTTTTTTCTGGGTGATGTGGAAATCAATTGGTCAGGTATTAGCAGAAGTTTTACATATTCCTATTTCTGTTATAAAAGGATTATTCTTGTGACAAGATTGAATTATACTGTAGGCTAATGGTTCTCAATCAAGGGGTGACTTTGTCCTTCAGACACTTGGCAATATCTGGAGATGTATTTGTTACAACTCAGGGGATGGGAGGGGTGGAATGTGTGCTATCGGCATTTAGTGGGTAGAAGCCAGTGATACTTCTAAGCATCCTACACTGTGCATGACAGTCTCCCACAATAAAGAATTACCTAGCCAAAAATGTCAATAGTGCTGAGATTGAAAGACGCTGATGTAGGTAAAAGGTCAGAGGCGTGAAACCAGTTAAGAGTCTATGGCGAAATTCAGGCAAAATATGATGGTTGCTTAGACTAGGATATTAACAGCAAAGAAGTCAGAAAAGGTCCAATTCTGGATATATATTGAAAGAAGAGACAAAAAAATTTGCTGATGAATGGGATGTGGGATGTGAGAGAAAGAGAGGTACCAAGGGTTACGCAAAGATTTTGGCTTGAGAATCTGAAGGATGGAATTGCCATTTACTGAGAGAGCAATTGTGGAAGGAGATAGTTTTTGAGACTGATGTAACTATTAGACATTTAGGTGGCACCTTGATGTCTGTGAGAAATTCAAGTAGATAATCGAATTTATAAATATGGAGTTTGGGTGAGTTATCTGGCTAGAGATGTCCATTTGCCAGCATATCATGATATTCAAACCTATGAGGATAGTTGGGACCACCATGGCTGTGAGAGCAGGTAGAAAAGAGAATAGGAAAAAGGAGGGACTGATTCAATGTTTAGAGGTTATAGAGGTTAAGAGCTAGTAAAGGTTACTGATTGAGAAGGAGCAAGAGGTTGAGGTACTAAGAAAATAGGTGTATGTGATATTCTTGGCAGTTAATAAAGAAAATATTTCAAAGAGAGCAGATGACAAATTGTGGAAAGTCCAATTAGATGAGGACTGACAATTGACCATTCATTGTCATTAACCACGTGGCGGTCACTAGTGACCTTGACAAGAACATTTTTCTATGTTCAAGAGCAAATGGGGGTGGGACTTCAGAGAGGATACAGTGACCAGAGACACTGAATGTAGACCATAGATCAGCATTTCTGAAAGTCCCCAAAGGGGAGGGTTCTGAGAATGGAAAGACAGGGAGAATTATTCATGATCTAATAATGCTCACCTCTGAATAAGAGCTGTTTCTGTGAACTGATAGCATCCTTACCTCACAGATCTGTCCCTTTCTCAAACCATGTCAAGGGAGATGTGGAACTTGCCTCTTTCTTTGATTTGCAAGACCAAAATGGAAACAAATAAATAAGAAATCTTATTTGACCAGTTAACTTGAATTTACTGAAGCTTTGGAGGGGATGTGGGTATATATGAATGCAGGGTGTTACATTGCAAAAACAAAAACAAAACCCACACACAACCAAATAAACCCTTAAAATGTAATATTGGAACCTCCTTTTCTTAAAAGTCACTTTGCTGTTCTATCATAAACCCTGAAGTATTTTCTCTCTTCTCTCTTACCAAAGTCTTTTTATGTCTAATGCTGAATAGTTTAACTTTCTCTACCGTAGCATCATCTCATGCTAGCTTGTCTCTAAGGATTTGAGTTTCTACTACAAGTAGCTTATCAGAATAGTTCCTTAAGAGGAATTCTGATGCTTGCTATTAGGACAGTAATTTGTTCTCTGTATCGCACAAGGATATTCCTTTAACATTTTTAAACCAAAATAGGTAGTCAGTGTACATTGAATGAGGATGTGTTTTTAAATCTCAAACTTAGGTAATCAAAACTATTTATACGAGGTTTGTAGAGATTTTCTCTTTCTTGGTGTTAAGATGTAACAAGAAGTATAGAGTTTACTTGATATAATACAGCAGTCTTTCTATAGTATGTGCCCTATTTTCATGAGAAGTCTCAGAGGTCTGGAGGTTTACTTTAAAAGAAGGTTGTTGTAGACAAATAAGTAAGCTATCTTTCCTCTCATCCCCAAAACGTATTGACCATAACTACAAAAACAAATGGGCTCGTGTTTTTTAAATGTGAACCACTCTTAAGGGCTTTGTACATTCTAACCCATTTAATCTTTTTCACTACCTTTGTGGTAGTGCCTGTTATTTTCTGGTTTTCCAGGTGAGGAAATTTAGGCTCTAAGTCGGCAGTCCCCAACTTTTTTGGGACCAGGGACCGGTGCTCCTATGAGAATCTAATACCTGATGATCTGAGGTGGAGCTGAGGTGGTGATGCTAGCACTGGGGAGCAGCTGCAAATATAGATGAAATTTCTCTCATCTGCCTGTCACCACCTCCTAACAGGCCACTGACCTATACTGGTTCATGGCCCAAGGGTTGGGGACCCCTGCTCTAAGTGACTGAGTAATGGAG